ACTCAGCCAAATCTTAACTTCCTTATTCTAAAGCTGTTCTTTGCCGTAGTTTCCCTTTTCTCAATTCTATACCAACTAATTGTTATTATAGAGAAGAATACACTTCACATACTGTATTTACTTAGGGCACTGTGTTTATTACCACTTGGTGGTGTAACTTCTGCCTGGGTAATCCTAGCAAAAAAAAAAAGAAAAGAGAAGAAAATCCATAAGGGATTTCAAAGGTGCTTTCTTATCCAGGAGAACATACTCTTTGCAGTTCTGTGATCTATAATTCTGCTTATCATTTGGGTTTCTAAATCAGCCAGAGGTTATAATTTTAACTTTGTGCTTTAGTATAGTTGTGTCAAGATAGATTTGCCTTTGTTTCTCAACATGTTGTGGGTTGCACAATAAATCTTTGTTTTATTGTGTCTTGTGAAACCAAAATTGGTGTTGAGTCAGCTCATAGCCTGCAAATCAAACAGAAATCTTTGAAAAAGTGCATGCAATGAATTAAAAGTATTAGGTGTGATTTTTGCCATGGATCATTTTCAGGTTCTTGTTGGGGAAGTAGAATAATAAAGCTTTATACTCTCACATTAATAGTCTATGGGTACAATATACTTCCTATATGTGCCTTCTACTCCTTGTATAATTTTCAGCTTTTCTTTTGTTCTTTTCAGAATTATTTATCATTTCATTGTATGAGAGCTGTTTTCTAAAAAAAAAAAAAAGCTAATTAGGAAAAATAGATTTCATTTCTTTAAATATAAAGAGCAAAACTCATGTTACCAATTGACTTCTATTCATATTCATACTTGAAGACATTTTGCTCATTTTTTTAACTATCTTTTACATTTCTCTAGTTGCTTTATGGCCTTCACTAAATGAATTTGTTTTAGATAAATTGCAATGTTCCTAATCAGAATAAGGGATAAAAATTCTCAGCATTTCTTGAAGGAAGACTTTTTTCCTAGACATCTATACTGTTATATTTTATATTTTTGTGATGTTATGGAAAGAAAAGTGGATACTGTGTCTTTAATGGAAAGCAAAAGGTTATCTTTCTCTGGCCTTTGTGTGTATGTGCTGATGTGGATGTAGGCAGCCAGACAGGCAATGTGTGCAGAGAGACTAGGGAACCGGCTGCGGATCGATACAAGTGGTGTGAAGTGAATTAATGTGAGGCAGACCGTCTGTCTGTCACAGGCATTGCGGGGAATGTGGGGTAGCATGGTCAGTCACTGCAGAGATCTGCTTCCAATAAATTTAAGCCTCCTGCCTGAAATAAACTCTAGATTCATGCATTCTCCCTTCCTGATTGTGAAATTTTACTTTATTCAAAATAAATGTCCATATCAAGTTATTGCCCCTAGTGTACTTTAATTGGACTGCTGGAAAACCACAGTTGTGAGAAACTGATAAAATAAAAATACCTGCTATTCTTTTAGCTCCATTTTTCAATCTCAGTGGATATCTGTATTACTATGGGAATGAGAACATAATGTGTTAATATTTATAAATATTCTGGTGGGGCTTTTCTTTCAGAGTCCTAACAGTCTTGTTTATCATGTCCATCTAATCGTCAATAAAATAAAATTATAATGATCTCAAATGGTTTTGTATTGCAATGTTTGTTTGACTGTGTTTTAAATTTTACTCTTAAAATTTAGCATTTAATCTTTGATTATTAACTTAATCACATGCACTGAAGTCTTCTGAGTTCATATGATTTATTACTACTCAGATATTACTAGCCAGTAAGAAAAAATGTTCATAGAGGTAATGGATATGCTTTTGAAAGATAATTTTTAGAATGATGTACCTGGTTTTATTGGTAGGGGAGACAAGTGCAGTATTAATCCATTGATTTTGAAAATTGTATTTCCATATTTACATTTTAAAATGCTTTTCTAAAGTAATTTAAAGTATTTATACAGAAATGGTGTGTGTGTATAGATAGATAGATAGATAGATAGATAGATAGATAGATAGATAGATAGATAGATAGATAGATAGATAGATCACTTACAGTGAACAGTGATTGGCGTGTTTAGAAGTCTAGACGGGGGCCTCCCCGGTGGCTCAGTGGTTGAGTGCTGGGTTGTGAAGCTGCCCGCAGCCTCTGCAGCGCCGGTTCAATCCCCGGCTGCTCCCTGGCCACCAGAGGAGGGTCCCACAGGGCGCGCAGACCTCTCCTGCCGCCCTCTGCTCCCCTCAGCAGTGTACTTCAGTCTGCTTGCTCTGCTCCCCCATCTGGCTCTGGTGAATTCTCTCACCCTCCTGCACTTCTGACTGTACCCAGTGCTTGTATAAATAAATAAAAATAAATCGCTTAAAAAAAAAAAAAGAAGTCTAGACGGCATGGAGAGCTCATAATAGACTTCCCATCTTCTATTTCCTATCTGTGTTGCTACCCACAGCCCGCCCCCTCCCCGTTCACTGCCTTGTCCAATCTTACTCAGACCTGGATTTTTTGCACCATTCTATGTATTCCCTTTTTCCTCCTGGTTCACAGTGTAGAGCCCATGTAGAAGTATCTGTTGTCTGGCATAATGGACACTCATTTTTGTTTGTTTATTTATTAAAATTTATTTATGCATGTAAGAACTGGGGTACAGGCCAGAGGTGCGGGGGGTGAGAGGATTCACCAGAGACAGAGTGGGGAACAGAACAGGCGGATTGACTGAACTACACTGCTGAGGGGAGCATTGGGCGAGTCAGGAGAGGTCTGCTGCGCCATGTGGGTGTCTCCTGGGCCAGGGATTGAACTCATGCTTCAGTGGTTGCGGATAGCTTCATAGGTTGTGTCTTAACCCCTTGAGCCACCAGGGAGGCCCTGGACACTTGTTTTTGGACTTTGTGAACTTTGTATTTAGGAACTAATTAGTGTAGTCGTATCTTTCCATTTTTTTCCCATCTCTTTTTATTGTGTTTCTTTGTTGTCTTTATCTTTATAATCTCTTTATCATTCCTTTTTATTGAATATTTTTCCCAAAGTATATACTGCTATTTTCTTGTATATTTAAATAGCATAATTTGTCATGCAAATTTGAAGATATTAATTTTATTCAAGATGGATTTTTTGAACTTTTATGAGATGTTCATTGCTGTCAAATATTCTGAGGACACTCAGAAAGTAAATAAGTCTCAGATTTTAGAATGTAGTTTGACACAGAGATCATTTACATCAAATACCTAAGAAAATAGTAAAGTATCCCCATATTATTAATCGACAGCATTTACAATCTTGACAATCAAATATGCCAGGAACTGATGCTTCCATACTAGCACGTTCTACATGGACATTTCCTTTTATTTTTCAATCTCAATAAGATTTCATCATTTTGTTGACAGTGGATTGTGATAAAGTGTTTTTTCTGCTTCAAAAAGTTTAGTATTTTATACTAGGAAGAAAGTAAAATATATTTTTCTGGCTTTTGTGTTTCATTGAGAATATCATTGCATTCTGGCATAATCCTCAATTTTCTTTAGTGACAGTGATATAGTACCTTCTGCTGTATCTTTTTTTAAAGGTAGGCTTATTGAGGTATAGTTTATATATAGTAAAATTCCTATTGTTGATACACAATTCTATGAGTTTTAATCAAATGTGGATGGTCATGTACCCACTTCCACAACCAACTATAGATTATTTTACTGTTCTAAGATATTTGCTCCTACTGCTTTGTAGTCAATCCACTCACCACACCCTTAGCCTCTGGCAACTGTTGATTTGATTTATATCCTAAAGTTTTGCCTTTTACAGAAGATCTGCTGTAATATCTGCCTATTATCATAAGGTAGTAGTATAGCATCTAACTAAATAATGTAAAAAGAGCTGAGTGATGGCTGGGAATTCTACAAAATGTTTTTTCCTCCTTTTGAGGATAATGATTGGCATGCTTTAAGGATTAAATAACGGTTCTTGTAGTAATTTGTCTCCCCATTCTCAGTATCTCTTACCTTTTATATCTTCCAACAAAGGTTAGGGATCAGATGTATTTTGTTACAATTCCATTGCCCACTTTGGCTGAAGTTAGGATATTTAGTTGATCTTTGAAAAAAAAATACTAATCCAAATTAATCTTTTTATTAATTGGTACCAAAATAACCCAGAAATTTTGATGCTAATCATAATAGAAGGAGTTAACAAATATGATTAAACTCAAGAATATGTTTTTTTTTTTTTAATGGAAAGGAACATTCCTTCTTGCTAACCCAAGAAAATATTCATGGTGAATTTTGTTTTATTACATAAATGTTTTCTGTGGCCCTATATCTCCCTTTTTCCTTCAGCTATGTGGCTGTATATGTATCAGGAGAGTACACAGAAATGGCATGGATGCCTTGACTGATCTCGGACATTAGAAAAGCAAATTTTTTAAAATATTTTATTTTATATATTTTACATCATTTTTCATTTTTGCACAATGTATGCTTTTTCATCTTGGTTATATTCCCCAGGCAATTCCCACCCCCCCTTATTTTGACCCTAATCCCTCCTCCCCTCCTCCAGTGTGTCTCTGGTTTATAGTTGCTTATTGCTGTTGATTTTTACTTTATTATAATTAGGCTTTTTCCTGGTCCCTTATTTAGGTTTTCTAAATTCCTGCTATGAGTGAGGCCATCCGGTAGAAAAGCAAACTTTTTAAGACAGCTTTATTGAAATAATTCACATGCCATTAAATTCACCCTTGAAAGTATATAATTCAGAGTTGTACAGTCATTTCAGAACCTTTTCTTCACCCCAAAAGAAAATTCTGTGCCCATTACTATCACTCTCCATTTCCCCGTTCCTCTTGCCCTAGACAATCAGAGATGTACTTTCTGTGTCTATAGATTTGCCTGTCCAAGACTTCTCATATACGTGGAATCATACAGCTTGTAGTGTTTTGTGACTTTAAAATGTGGTATGCTAATATATTCTCTTATTCATCAGTTGATGGGTATTACATAGTGGTCTGCCTTTCTTTTAATTTTTCTAAACTAAACCTTTTAACTCCTATTTGTTCTAGCTGGAGTTTCAGCAGAAGCCATGCAGACTATCAGCACTGCTCCAGATACCTCAGGGCCAGAAGCCAAAGTCCAGGAGGAAGAGCATGATCTTGTAGATGATGACATCACAACTGGTAAGCGTGCCCATCGTGAACATAATCTCGATGAGCTTTGTCCAATATTTGAAACATGCTTTAAGGTTATGTATAGTGGAGCTAAGTAGAGGTGTTGATGGACAGATTGGAAACTTGTGTTCATGGAGTGTTTACTTTGATGAGAGTCTCGAGGAGTGTGCTTTTTGATCTTGAAGTGTAAAGAAGTGTAATTGTTTATTTGTCCAGGTTTTGCTCATTGTTGCTATTATCACAAATATGCTGGTTGTGCATTAGTTTTTCTAGAGACCTTCTAATTCAAAGCTGGCATCACTACTAAAGCATTGGCACATGTAGAGGAACACTCTTGCTATGGAAGATTTTGTAATTACAGAGCAAACTGAAGGATAGTGACATTGTAATAGCAATACATGCAATACAAGCTGCATAAGGAAACTTACAGGTAGTCTTTGTACTTGTACTGTAGAAACAAATGCTGCTTTTTAAAGTTCTTTACATTGTTAGTTATTGGACATTCTTACCTGCATTATTATCACATGACCAGGCATTATATGAAGTTTAAGGAAGTTTAAGGACATACCACATACCAAACATGACTCCAGTCTATCTTTTTATAAACTTAAGGTATTTTCAGTTACTGGGTCTCCAAGTGAATTCAGTTCAATTTCTTTTAATACAGAGGATAAAACCAAGCTGCTGTTAAGAATGATAAACTCTTGATTTTAGTGTAGATGATTAAAATGTAAAATCTGAACATGTAAATCTCTATTGACAAACACAATAATTAATAGTAATAATTAAAAAGAATCATACCCAGAAATAACAGGAAAAGTTTCTTTGTGATGGTAAAATTTTTAACAAAAATTAAAGGTAGAAGAACAATAGGGCACTTTTTATCTTTTAAAGCCATGTGAGCTCTGTGACATAGGTTCTTAACTGGTATCACCTGAATGCTTTGAAAATTTCTTCACTGGGAAAAATAGTCAAGGGATCCTAATGATCTCCCTTGAAAATTTACAAATTCTATATTTAAAAACCTCTAGCCTTGTCCCACTGCTGCACGTAAGTAGTTGACTAAGTTGGGCAGCATCTGATTTTCAGAAAAATGAGATGATGGTGAGGCTACTACTTGTCAGCCTTTAATCCTGTTTAATGTGTTAGTACGTTTTTTTTTTTTTTAATCATTCAATGTAAGTATAAATCATCTCAAAAGCTTACAAGTTTTTTCTTTCAATACCTACTAAAGGAAATTCATTTGTAGATTTTATGACTAGTTTTCCTAATTCAATTTTCATTGCCTTTTTTATATTCTTATAGATATTTTTTGGTATGCTTTCATTCCCAATAAAGTTAAAGGTCTTCTAGTCTATAAAAGTATTGGTTTATTCATTGAGAAAAGAAGTTGCCTTGACAACAGTAGAATAACTCAATTTGCATCCTGAAATAAAGCTGAATTTTTGAACACTCAAGTTAGCCTTATTAAATTAATCCATTAAAATTTTGAATTATGAACTACCAAAGTCATTACAACACATGACTGTGTTTTTATTTATCTTTTAAAGAAATCAAGAAGCAAAAAAGGAAAATTTAGTTTGGAGGGTCAATTAATATCACACAGACTGTATTTTAATCTGTAAGAAGTTCATTTAAACATGTGTGGCAAATGGCTTTTATCAGTTGATTTATTCATTTCATGCCATGGGTACTAGAGGCAAGAATGTTCAATACCCAGAGAATTTAAATAACTAAAAAAGGCTTCCTTAACACGTTGTCAAAGCAACTGGCTTGCTGCAGCCAGCAGATCGTTTGGGTTACCTTTAGATTCTGTGACTTGATTAAGATGTGGTATAGATTTTTGTGAGGGTTTAGAAGAAAATCATATTTCTTTTTATTGACTAGAATCCTATATAAATTGCATTATGAAAAATATGGTAGATGTATGAGAGAAACCTGATTCAAGCACAATAATCTTATTTTGGGATAACCAGCACTGTAAAGTACAAATACTACAAAAGGCTAGACTGGCCAGTTTAGCTATTAGTCTGAACGATTGGGGTGGTTAATTTTTTCACAGTTGTTTAAAGAGAATCCCTCCAGGAATATCTCCTTATAAAATAGACAGATTATATTATGACATTAATATGTCCCTGTATTTTGAATGATTTTTGTGCATGTGGAAGCTATATTAAGTTGATCCATAAAGTTGTATTTTATATTTGCACTAATCTGGGACTTAATTCTTCAGTTCACTTAATTAAATGTTCTGACCAAGATAGCAATTAAAATCGGAAGTATAATTTAGTACTTCTACTATACTCAGAATAACCATTTTTGAAATTTTCCTTTTGGGTGAGAATGATCCAGGCACGAATGGTATCTGAGCCGACCAGGCTTGGTTAGTGTTTGCCTTATAAAAGTAAAGGAGTGTGGGATAAAGCTGTCTAAGTGTTGGCTATGATCAATTGGAACTAATTAAATTTATTTGAAATGAGGAGGCTTAACTGGAAGAGAACAGCTGGAAAAACTGGGAAGAAAAAAATTGAGTCTTGATTGAGACAATTTAAACCTTCACCCTGTCATTTAAAAAATATGCCGCAGCTTCTTGCTATATCTCTCTTTTTAAAGCTAATATCTATTGATCGGCTCTGCAGAGTAATGCCAGTGTGCTGTGGTCAACGCACAGGCTCCGTTTTACTTAGCGTTCTGTCTTAAGGTTCACCAAGTTCTTGGCTTTAACCACATGTCTTAAATTACACCTCAAAGCCATATTGGGCTTTTATATTTTTGCAGATTAACATTATTTTTATGTAGAAAAAATATTAAAACCCACTCCACTTTTTTTATATGTACAATGTAAGTGGGAAATATTCTTTCTTTTTCAATGGAATTGTTTTAGGTTTTGCAGTACTCTGTATAGATAAAATCTGTTTCAACAACACTAGTAGTATTTTCTTTAAAGCAACATGAATGGCATTAAGGTTGCTTCTAGATTATAATTTTAGAGTTTCATGAATATTACCCTGTACATTCATGTTTACTTTTGTATGTATATATATATTTTAATTTTTAGTATTAAAATTAAATGGTTATGTAGAGATATAATCAATACCTATAAATAAAGACAAATACTGGATAATTTCACTCATGGATTATAGAGAAGCAAAACAAAGGAATTGGCAAAAATAAACCAAAACAAACCCTAGAAATATGACTGTGGAATCAAGGCTGCTATAGGGGAGGGGATAAAGCAGGGAGTACCCCAATGATCTAGGCTAAATGGTGTGTGGGTTCTTCGGTGGTGGGTTTGATGTGGTGACATATATCTGAGGAGGTGTGTGCCTAGTCCCCTAAGTCATACACAGTAGTATAAATCAGTGTTACCTCAATAAAAAATAAAAGTGAAAAAGGGAGAGAAAAAAATGTGTTCTTATATTCATTTTGATATTAACAGGTCATAATTATAGTAATGGAATAATATTAACAGAATAAATCTCACTAAAAACTGTCATACACAGAAAACATTCTAGATATAATCTGTTTTCTATCCTTCTGAGGGTTATACTGCAGTGTCCTACCTCTTGTTCAATATAGCAAGGACACAAATTGACCGCATAATAGCGATAAAGGGTCAAGAGTCACTGACATTGTCAAAAAGAAACAGCTTGATACTAGATCAGCAGCACAGTTGACAGAGTCAACAGCTTACAACGCAAGCAGCAGTGATATATGAATCTTGGATGGTTGTGTTGACTGTTTTTGTTGGATTTTTTTAAAAAATAAAAAAATTTAAAGTTGAGAAATCATGTGGAAAAAAGAAAAAACAGGAAAGGGTAAGAGAAATTGAAGTGATATCAATTGACAACTTACTATGTACCAAGCACTTAACACTTGACTCTTGCAGCATGTCTTTGAAGTGGATACTAGTATTTTTCAAGATGGATAGATGAGGAAACAAGCCGAGAGAGGTTACTTTTATAAGGTCACATACTTAACAAGTGATAAATCTGGGAATGAAAATGAGTAGTGCCTGATTTCCAAGCTGATAGGTGGTCAGAAGCACCACCCCATGCTGCCTCACTTCTTAAATTTATTGAACTTTGGCACATTTTCATCATCTTCTGAAATGTGAGGTGACGTCACAGTCTACCTTTATTGCCTGTATTATCAGGCAAAAGCTTATTACTTGCAGGTTATCTTATTGAAAATGCAAATCTGTTACTCTAAATTTAGACCTGCAGATCATTTCCTTTAGGAAAAAAAAGAATTTTAAAAAATTCTTTAAATTTTCAGCTATCGTGTAGGGCTACTATAAGACTGTAAATATAGTGCTCATTATTAAGCAGTTATTGCATGCATGTAAAATGAAATGTTCATTTGTTCTGTCTGGATTTGTGAAGTCATCAATGTGAAAGTGACACTTTAGCGTATATTCATACACTGAAATCAACATGCTAGTGTATTAAGCTAGAATTGAAAAGGATATGTAGTCTGAGACTATTGATTTGTGCATTTTATCTTTCACTAACGGCCCTCTTCATAAAATGTTTATATGTTTGTTTTGACTGAAAGATAGGAAATTCACCCTGTTCAAGTGCAGCTATGTTCTACAGGACAAAATTTGAAACATGTATTCAGAAATCCATATACTTTTCCAGTACAGCGTCAGAGGCCTTATACTTACTAAACTAGAACAAGATTATTACATCACACCCTGTCCATTTGTCTTTCTGTAATTTTTAATTAACAGTCTGAAAAGTAGTCCTAGCTCTATGTGAGTTTTAAATCATTTGTTGTACATTACCACTACCCCTGTTTTTGACTTCAGAACGGGAGATACCATAAAATATAATTTCCTATATTATGGTTTGGGGTAGTTATGAATCACTAAAGATATGGTTTATTTACTATGCAGTTTTCATGAAAACAGACATTAAGAAAAGTAAAAATGTGGATTTCATTTTTCTGAATAATATGTGTCATTTCAAATTTACCTTTCCATATATTTTTTTAAATATGGATAA